ACTTTGCTTTCCATACACTTTAAGTACTTCTTCATATACCACAGCAAAAAATATAGTCTGAGAAAGTTGATTAAAGGCATGATTAAAGGCAAGTGAACAGTCAGTAAAAAAAAGAAAGAAAAAAGAACAAATACACAATTTACAAGCATAGATAAAATAAATAGTATTCAGGTACAGAAATTTTATAATTAATTGTAAAATAACACTGCATTGTGTTCACTGTATGAATTCAATTTAGATTAATCTTTGTTATAGCTGTTTTGTTGTTTGATTAACATTAGTGACATATTCAGCAGCACGTATATTTATAGGCTGCTGTGCCTTTAAATCCGACTGCACAGATCCAGTATAATGATACACATCCGATTTCTTTCTCAGCTGTTTACATTCATTTAAAACATAACCGACTGCGTTTACGAGAATGATCATTGAGACGGGTATTATTGACAATTCTGTGTGTATGTGTCTGTTCAAACATGAGGAGACGCGAAAGACGAATCAACTCGGTGTTCGCGCGCCAACTGAAACGCGTCTCTTATGAAGGTAGAATGACATCAAAAAGATTTGCATACGCAGGGTAAGAGTTGTGGAAGTGTACATAAGACTGTAAGCGTAAATTCAATTTGCATGCGCAAGAGAAGCTTTGTAAAGGTGTAAATCGTGTTTCAAGCGCAAGCATTTTACTGTTATTCGTAAGTGTAATTCGAATAACGGTACTCAGTCTCTCTCTCTCTCTGTGTGTGTGTGCGCGCACGCTTTGCACATGTGCGGCAGAACGGAAGATACGCTGTGCGAGATGCGGCTTGTGCATACGCTTCAGGTGTGAGTCAGACAGCAAGACGAGACGGCAAAGAGTTGTTTTCTGCAACTTATTGCACTTAACTCTTTTTAACGTCAAGCAATTCTCTGCTATATGCATCGAACTAAAACTTTGACCTTTTGCAATGTTTTGAATTAAGTAGCCTAGTATTAAAATGATTCAGATATTGCACGCCCTTGCTATATGCATATCGCGATATTTACATTTGCGATATTTCGATATTTTCCATATATCGTGCAGCCCTAATAGGCTACTTAAATCAAAACGTTGCAAAAGGTCAAAGTTTTAGTTCGCAATGTATCATCAACCTCTCATTCCTGACTCTCCCCAGAGAGAGGACAGATTAGTTTTCCATGACCATGCAATGGCATCTGTGAGGTCATTGTTTCAAGGTGCTCTCTGCGTTCATACAGCTGCTGACAAGGCAATAACCACCACTAAGAACTTGCCTATTGCAAGCAAGAAAAAGCCACACATCACTGATGATCAGCTCAAACAATCGATCCTAGTGTTATCCGGTAGTTTCCATTCAGGAATTCTGCAACTTATGATCTGCTTGTAATTGCAATTACGGTGAGCAGCTGTCATTCAAGTCATGAGAACATGCAGAGCAATACAAGTGCAAGCAGTATTATGCTTTCACCAAACAAGTGCCTTAAAGGGTTAGTTCACCCAAAAATGAAAATTACCCCATAATTTACTTACCCTCAAGCCATCCTTGATGTATATGACTTTCTTCTTTCAGACGAATACAATCGGAGTTATATTAAAAAACATCCTGGCTCTTCCAAGCTTTATACTGGGAGTGGATGGTAGCCTAAAATTTTAAGTCCAAAAAATTGAACCAATTCATTATAAAAGAAGTTCACACGGCTCCGGGGGGTTAATAAAGGCCTCCCGAAGCGAAGCATTTGTGTAAGAAAAATATCCATATTTACAACTTTATAAACCTTAATCTCTTAACATCTGATAAGTGTCGTACGCACGTTCACGAACGAGAGGCGTCCAGCGGATGACGTAGGCGTAGCGTAAACTCCGGTGAGAGTCTCGCGAGAAACAAGTTTTGTTTACAGCAAAGGAAAACCAGTGTCTTCTTGGCTTATATTGAAATCCTCTGACATTTTTCTTTATAAATCCTCGTTTTGTACTACTAATTCATGACCGGTGTTTTGTTTTGCTCTCTCCTCTGCACTTCCACGTTCGTCACTGCGTTTGCCTACGTGCTACGTCATCCGCTGGACGCCACTCTCTTGTAAATGCATGTATGACAGTTAGCGGAAGCTAGATAAGGTTTATAAAGTTGTAAATATGGATATTTTTCTAACACAAACGCATCTCGTCGATTTAGAATGCCTTTATTAACCCCCCGGAGCCGTGTGGACTTCTTTTATTATAGATTGGTTACATTTTTTGGATTTCAAATTTTAGGCTACCATCCACTTCCATTATAAAGCTTGGAAGAGCCAGGATGTTTTTTAATATAAATCCGATTGTATTCGTCTAAAAGAAGAATGTCATATACACCTAGGATGGCTTGAAGGTGAGTAAATCATGGGGTAATTTTCATTTTTGGGTGAACTATCCCTTTAAGCTCTCTGATCTAAAAAGCACTAAACCGCCTTAGCGATAAAACAGCCTAAACTCCTTTTCACACTTTCATTAAACTGTTATGAGCCCCTAATCTGCAGCACAAGAAGCCAAACCCTTAGAAAAGCCTCTAAACTTTAGACTGACAAGCACACCTTGGTATACTTTTTAAAACAGTACTTAGAGAAATAATATACTTTAAAAGAATATATTTAAACGCAAACTCAATGTAATGTTTTTAGACACTTAACTGCACGTTATTATTTGCAATCAAATGAAAATGTATTATACTTTAAATGTATATTAAATGCCATTAGTTAAACTTAAGAGTGCTTTCAAGAAGAACTTATTTAGATTTGCATATGTAATTTCATAATTACTTACACTGTCTATGAAATACGGTTGAAGTGTAGTCTGGCAAACTAAATTTCAATGGAATTTCAATCTAAACTTGTATGTCGTGTTTAAATATATTTGTAATTACACATTTGTAATGACGTAGTTGCAATTTAGTACATTTAATATAGATTTATTTTAAATGTAATACTGAATAACAAACTACAATTATTGACCAAATCTAGTAGCCTACTTTGCAGGTGTTTCTGTAAGTCAGTCAACCTTTGACCACAACAAAAGATTATCAAAACACAATTTCAAATGTACTTTAAAGTAAAACCTTTAATTTTACATTATTTTAAAGTGCACTTTTTAAAAGTGTACACAAGTGTGTCAAGAACCATCAAGATTCCATTACACATCATTAATATTATACTACGTGCACAGTCTTTTTAAAATATACTTTTAAGACTTGAAGTACACGACAAGTGCACATTAAATACAACTAAGCACACTTCTTTTTCACAAGGGCAGGGACAAAACACAACTGCTTTTGCTATGACAGCAGGGTCTGAAGGATGCATGCAGATTAAAACACTAAAAAGGCTCATAAATGGCCAGCTATTTTGTATGGCCTATTATTAACAATGCACGTAGTATGTTTTTGATTACGTTTAGCTGTCTATAATTTGTTCCAATAGTAAATTAAAATAACAGAATACTGATATGACCATGATAGTGTGCATCATTATAATGGCATCCTTCAAAACAGCTATTCATTTCTTCAGGTGTCACACTTTTTGATCTGCAAACAAATACTGAACGCACCCTTAAGGCTCTAAGAAACAGCATCTACAGACAATCGTATAAAAATTCATTAAAAATGACTTATGACAGGCTCCTGTCAGAAACCCTGTGCTGTCATTCCCTCTTCAGACTCAAAAGATGCGTTATTTTGCATTTAAAACCGTGTAGAGTGTCAGAAAACTTTCAAAAACACGGAGCACTAATCCACTGACATGGTTATTTTGTTGAAATCTTTTAAACATGGTTGCATGCACAGGACTGTGGGTGCCTGTAAGGCTGCTCCAGCTATGCAACTTCATCTCTCTGTATGTCAACAAGCACGAAGGAAGTCTGATTCCTTGTGTTTACATTTAGCCAGTGCGCGCGAGCGACTGATCATTCACCGAATCAATCACGACCCCACTGCCTAATATTTGGCTTTTGCTGCCAAAAGCAACACATCAGGCCTGAATCAAGACTTGCACGTATTGTATTTGGCCAGCGCAAAGCCCAAAACCACCAACATCGCATCTTCCACATAAACAACGCGTGAGCGTGCATATGCATCGTTTGCATGCTCGCTTTTTTGGCTCTGAAATGTCAAATCTCCCCACCGATGTTTTCTTTACCTGTTCGTCGAATCGATTAATGATGGCCTGGACCCATTCCACGGGCTTGTGCGCCGCCATGCTCAGGCGGATGCGCGCGCCGCTAAGTCTCCTATCAATCACTTCTGCGATTCCGATTCCTGCTGTCGATTCGCCCCGGGTGCGACAAATACCCCCTAAACCGCTCCGCAAAATAATCAAGGAGGAGAACAGAGGTGCAGGTGGAGGGAGGAGGGGGGGTTTGGTTTAGTTTTTCACTTCAAGCATACTCCACCTCGCCGCCATGACACACCACCGGAAGTTTGAATCCTCCTCTCTCTCGCTCTGGCTTCAGTCTGGGTGCTGCGCATGCGCAGAAGTGCTATTGAAGAACGACCATTATTACGCGAGGAATATTTATCTATCTATCTATCTATCTGAGTTAGGTGTTTCTGGTAAACTGAATTACTTTTCTATGCACTGATTTAAAAAAAATGTTTGTAGATCTTAAAATGTGCCATTATGTACGGTACTCAGTAAATTAAAGTACTATTGTGGTTTGTCCATTATTTAAACAGAACAGAGCAGAGGTCATTCTGGTTCAAATGTGTAACTATATAAATCCTAATAAAGTATAGGCTACTGATCTGTTTTTCTTGAAATAATTAAACAAAGCTTCTTTCCATTCTTTATTAAGAATTACAATGAACCATAAAATCATCTTAGAGAAATGTTGACATTAAAACATGAAATATTTCATACAAGTAAGCTAAATACAATGACCAACACATTCAAATGTAAATTCGTTTTCGAGAATCGGATTACTTTTTCCTTTAACAAAATCGACCAACTATTTTTAACTGTTAAACTAAATTGGTTTGTTTAATTTTGTAAATAGAAGTCCGCAATAATTATCTTAACTAGTGAATCTTTATTGTGCTTTAGTTTAGTAGTAATATATTGGACGGATAAATGTTATAGCAACGAAAGGCCGCAGAAGGCTTTAAAGAGAAAGAAAAGCAGAATTCTACTGCCACCTTGAGATCAATCTAAACTCAACGTCAACAGAAAGCTGTATTAGTTATGCTACTCATAGTCACTATAGGGCGTATGTGTTATCATAGCCTTTTGAAAAATCCAGACTTTTGAACAATAGGCTATCTTTATTTTAAAGGCCCCTTAGGCCGCACCAATTTAGTAAAAATTCAGTAAAAGGGATAATTTATTTTTAGGAGTAACAAGATTTTAATATAATGTTCTGCATTTCTCTGTCTAATTCTATCTGCTAAATATGCCTTGCACCTCGAAGATATTTTAACTGTCTGAAAATAATTTTTATTGTAACTCTGATCAATTTCTGATTTGAAAGCCATATTCCTTCATTTATGAAATAAATGATCAGATTGTTCACTTGCCCTTAAACATCACACCATGAACATGTTTTTGTGGTTATTTTAATTATTTCATTGCATGGAAGTGAATAAAATCATTAAACAACATGACAGCCAAGCAACCATTTCTCTTTTAACCCAGCAATATAGGAGGAACAGATGATACAGAAGGTGCTGTGAGCAACTTTCAGCTGCTTTCTATCTTCACAGATAATACAAATGTTTTTAAAAAGTAATTGAAACAGAAGTTACACACATTTTAGATGTTTAGCTACACGTTACTCCATGATAAACAGATACAGTACTAACCGTTCATATATCATACTGAAAAGCATTTTTTTGTTGTTGCTGGAAATGTATTAAAAGGTTCAGCTGCATGCACTGCATTATGAGATACAGCATTCCATACAATACTATCTGTTGTATAGATCACTGCTCAGTTTGACAAAGGTTATTTTATGCATACATAAATGTGTTTTACTGTAATGAAATGTGTGTGGTAGCATTCTATTGCAAACATGTTATGGATTTCTTAGGACACCTATTTCACAAACAAGTATAAAAAGGTAATAGTCCAGAGACAGTCATGTAGACAAGGCTACTGTTCAACTGGCGTAACAGTGATAATGAAGAACATGATGCCTGATAATATGACCAAAGAGATGCATGAGAGCCCAAGAACCACAAACATCGGTGGATATCTAAGATACAGTGGAATATTTGTCCTTTTTGAATAGATATACCTATACCTGGAAATTACCTAGAAATATCTGCCAGAAAATGCAAACCTATATAAGAGCAGATAAAATACACCCTCAGGAAAAACGTTGCAAAAGCTGTCACCCTTTTAAAAGGTATAGGCTACTTATGTGCCCCTTTTAAAAGTTGTGGATAGCAACTGCATAAGGAGAATGATCCCCTAACGTTCTCCTAACATCAAAATTCCAGTAACATTTCTGTAACCATGCTGCAATAAACCACCTCAATAATCTGAATTCATAAGACTAAATTCTCTTCTAATATTTTAGATTATCTATCACTGTACCACAAACTGAAAACAGCCCAGATCCTGTGTTTCCAAGTTTACTAATAAATAAATAAATAAATACATAACTTTATTGCATTTTGGGAGATAAGCAACTGCTTATTAGGACATGTTGTTGGTAAACACCAAAAATACTGTGATCAAAAGCACCACCCATTTCACTATTTTGAATAATAAAAACAGGTTAGTTTTTCTTAATTTGACATAATTCATGACATTTTGGATAATTATGACTGCACAGTACGTACATTTTTTCAAAGCACATTTGATCAAATCCAAGCCACATCAAATCATAATTAAAATCAAATCGTAATAACTATTATTAATTTTGTATAGAATTGATAACGTGGAGTTTGGAGTGTGACTGTTTGAGGTTGTGGACAGGTGTCTTTTATACTGATAACGAGTTCAAACAGATGCCATTAATACAGGTAACGAGTGGAGGACAGAGGAGCCTCTTAAAGAAGTTGTTACAGGTCTGTGAGAGCCAGAAATCTTGCTTGTTTGTAGGTGACCAAATACTTATTTTACAGAGGAATTTACCAATTAATTCTTTAAAAATCCTACAATGTGATTTTCTGGATTTTTTTTTCTCATGTTGTCTCTCATAGTTGAGGTATACCTATGATGAAAATTACAGGCCTCTCTCATCTTTTTAAGTGGGAGAACTTGCACAATTGGTGGCTGACTAAATACTTTTTTGCCCCACTGTATATAATTGCTGAAAAGTAAGGGCTGGAAAGTCAAATATTATTAAATGCCCATATGAGAAGGATGCAATACTAGCAACAAAAAAAGGCAAAATTAAGGTGTGGCCATTGGTTAAGAAATGTTCATTGGGGCGGCAGGGTCACAGAAAAACATACAGACCAGTGCCACCTTGAGATCAATCTAAACTCAACGTCAACAGAAAGCTGTATTAGTTATGCTACTCATAGTCACTATAGGGCGTATGTGTTATCATAGCCTTTTGAAAAATCCAGACTTTTGAACAATAGGCTATCTTTATTTTAAAGGCCCCTTAGGCCCCACCAATTTAGTAAAAATTCAGTAAAAGGGATAATTTATTTTTAGGAGTAACAAGATTTTAATATAATGTTCTGCATTTCTCTGTCTAATTCTATCTGCTAAATATGCCTTGCACCTCGAAGATATTTTAACTGTCTGAAAATAATTTTTATTGTAACTCTGATCAATTTCTGATTTGAAAGCCATATTCCTTCATTTATGAAATAAATGATCAGATTGTTCACTTGCCCTTAAACATCACACCATGAACATGTTTTTGTGGTTATTTTAATTATTTCATTGCATGGAAGTGAATAAAATCATTAAACAACATGACAGCCAAGCAACCATTTCTCTTTTAACCCAGCAATATAGGAGGAACAGATGATACAGAAGGTGCTGTGAGCAACTTTCAGCTGCTTTCTATCTTCACAGATAATACAAATGTTTTTAAAAAGTAATTGAAACAGAAGTTACACACATTTTAGATGTTTAGCTACACGTTACTCCATGATAAACAGATACAGTACTAACCGTTCATATATCATACTGAAAACCATTTTTTTGTTGTTGCTGGAAATGTATTAAAAGGTTCAGCTGCATGCACTGCATTATGAGATACAGCATTCCATACAATACTATCTGTTGTATAGATCACTGCTCAGTTTGACAAAGGTTATTTTATGCATACATAAATGTGTTTTACTGTAATGAAACGTGTGTGGAGCCCAGATCCTGTGTTTCCAAGTTTACTAATAAATAAATAAATACATAACTTTATTGCATTTTGGGAGATAAGCAACTGCTTATTAGGGCATGTTGTTGGTAAACACCAAAAATACTGTGATCAAAAGCACCACCCATTTCACTATTTTGAATAATAAAAACAGGTTAGTTTTTCTTAATTTGACATAATTCATGACATTTTGGATAATTATGACTGCACAGTACGTACATTTTTTCAAAGCACATTTGATCAAATCCAAGCCACATCAAATCATAATCATAATTAAAATCAAATCGTAATAACTATTATTAATTTTGTATAGAATTGATAAAAAGTGATATATAATTGCTGAAAAGTAAGGGCTGGAAAGTCAAATATTATTAAATGCCCATATGAGAAGGATGCAATACTAGCAACAAAAAAGGCAAAATTAAGGTGTGGCCATTGGTTAAGAAATGTTCATTGGGGCAGCAGGGTCACAGAAAAACATACAGACCAGTGCCACCTTTTTCCAGAACTGCAAATTACCTGGAGTCTCCAGAAGTAAAAGGTGTCAGGTTCTCAGAGACTTCGCTAAGGTAAAGAATCCAGAAACATGAGCTCCATTTAATAAGAACCACAAGCTGAACTGTCATGAAATGTAATGAAAGCAACAAATAATTCTGTTTTAATATATCACCTATTGTGTTTTCATATAATAATATTAGATAGCTATTAGAGTAATTAAAATTAAGCATACCTCTACTGCCACCATGAGATCAATCTAAATACAACATCAGTATTTATTATAGTTACCCACTTATGATCACTACAGGGCGTGTGTGTCATCATGGCCGTTTGAAATGTTCAGACTATTGAACAATGTATTTATTTTTAAGTCTCAAGCCCCACCAATTAATTCATTATAACAATTTCATTTTAAGGAATAGCACGATTTTAATATATGTTTTGCATTTCTCTGTCTTGCTAAACGTCCCTGTTACCTCAAATATATTTGTACTGGCATTAAATTGGAACTCAGTTCAGTTACTGATTAGAAATGCATTCTTAAATTGTTCACTTGCCCTTAAAAATCATGCCACAAACTTGTTTAGATTATTTAAATTATTTTTTTAATTGCATGGAAGTGAAA